GGGGGCGGGGGGCGCTTATGTTACTGACTACCGTAGCCACCCGCCTGGGCTTGTCTCCTGCCTCTCTACATCGACTGGGCGAAAAGGGACATTCACGAAGGCCGGGCCCGAGGGGGCGGGGGAATGGATTAATTCAATATAGCCTGCGCCGTGGGCGCGGCGACGCGCACCAGCTCGGGGGCAGGCACCGGCCTCGGCTCCACTTCGCCTCGCCCTGACGGAGGGGCCCGCACCGCGGGCCATGCGTCGATGCGGTGTCAGGTAGCCCCGACGAGTGTCGGCCTCGAGACGAAGTAGGGGCCCCCGCCCCCGGGCGGGAGGAGGCCAGCATGACAGAAAGCCAGTCGGGCCCGGGGATGCATCGGAGGGCGGGCGGAGAGCAGCCGCGGACAGCTGGCGGACGGGCCCTGCAGCCGGGCGGCGGTGTGTTCCAGTGGGTGGGTGCCGCCCCTCGGGGTGGGGGGGCCCGGGGGCCGGGGTGACAGACGGGCATTGATGGCGGTGGGAACGCCAGCGGGCGGTGCTGCGGCCCGGCCGGTCCGGTCCTGGCGCCCGAGCGCCCAGGGTCAGATGCGGGCCGTTCTGGGGGCACGCCGGGACCGCGCCGGCCGGCCGGGCGGGAGGGAGGGGGGGAACATTGGGAGGCACTGTCGGAACGCGAGCATCCAGCCACCCCCGACTGGCCCCCACCGGCGCGGGGGGCTTGCCTTTTTTTTTTTTGGGGGGAGGGGGGCAAGAGCAACAACAGGACACCCGAAGCTTTCGCGGTGGTGGCCACACGACGGCCGCCACGCGCCGCGGGGGGCGCGGCCCCCGGGGCCTAGGGGAGAGCCGGGCGGCGAGGGTGTGGGGCCGGGGACCGGGCGAGGGGAGGGGCTGGGCGCCGGCGCGGGCGCTTCTCTAGGCGGAGGGCGCTTGGTGAACGCGGGCGCGCTCGCTATCAGGCGTGCCCCTAGCCCTGGGGCGCCGTCCGGCGAGCGAGCGCGTCCATAACCGCCCCGAAACTCGGGCCGGGCGCGAGCCGCAACTAGGAGAGCGCGACGGTGCGGGTGGGGCGGGGCGGGGCGAGGGAATGCGGACATCTGAAGCAGGGCCCCCTTGGCGGCCGAACGGGTGGATCGTTGAACTCACCCAGCAGTAGTGCAGTCGCTTCTCGCCTCCTCCCCCTGCCTGCCCTCTCCCGCCCAGTGGTCCATCCCTCCCGCCCGCCGCTTTGTTTGCCTCGCCTCCCCCCCCCCGGCTTCGGCCCCTTCTCCTCCGCTGCTTCTCTTGCGTTGCATCGTCTGCCATGTCTCTCGGCCCTGTGCTGTCCCTCCCGCCCCCTGGCAAAGCACCGCCCACCGGGAGCCCTCACCTCACTCCCCCTCTCCCCCCCCCCCCAGCGAATACCTGCTTT